CTCATGCTTGTCTTTCTGACAGACCAAGCAAGTCTTGACATATAACTCTATGTCATCCTCCATCTTAGACCAGTAATATGATCTGGATATCAACGCCAACATTCTATCCACCCCTGGATGTCCAGCCCACTGAGGATCATGCATTTCCCGCATTAGTTCCCATCTCAAACCTCCAACAGGAACATATAATCTACCTCCTCTGGCGTAGAGTAGATTACCTTCAATCCAGTACTTTCTGACTTCACCATCAGCAACCTGTTGCTTAAGTTTCTGATAGGCATTGTCGGACTGAGATTGCTCTTTGATTCTGTCAAGGAAATCAGTATACACCGTTGTCAATGACGCCACATACTCCTGCACTTCTTTCCTACTCAAGGCATCAGCAACCTGATTCTGCTTTCCAGGTCTGTGAACCCACACAAAATTGAACTCCCCAAGAAACTCTTGCCAACGAGCTTGCTTTGAAGTAAGCTTTTTCTGTGTCTTGAAGTAGGTATTGGCCACATTATCAGTCACCACTGTAAACTTGGTACCCAATAGATAGTGCTTCCATGCGTCAAGACAATGTATCACTGCAGTCATCTCTTTCTCGTGAGTTGTATACCTCTGTTCAGCATCCTTAAGCTTCCTGCTTTCAAAGGCACATGGGTGTCCTTCTTGGACTAGCACCCCACCAATTGCTCTATCAGAGGCATCAGTATGCACTTCAAATGGCAAACCAAAGTCAGGCAGTCTCAAGACCGGTTCTGTAGACACTGCCTGCTTAAGCATCTCAAAAGCATTCTGGCACTCCTCAGACCAAACCCACTGTTTGTCCTTCTTCAGCAAGTCCGTTAAAGGACTAACCTTCTTGGAATACCCCTTTATAAACTTTCTGTAGTAGTTTGCCAACCCTAGAAAAGATCTTAATTCTGTCACTTTGGTAGGTGCAGACCAATCAATGATGGTTTTCACCTTTCTCTCATCCATTCTGACATGGCCCTTACTGATCCAATGCCCCAAAAACATCACTTCTTGGCGACAAAACTCACACTTCTCCTTTTTGACAAATAACTGAAACTCCTTCAGTTTTGAGAAAACCAATCTCAAGTGTTTTAAGTGATCTTTCAATGACTCACTATAGACTACAATGTCATCCAAGTAAACAACAAAGCGATCGATGTAGTCATAAAACACATTATTCATTAAGTTGCAGAAGGTTGCCGGGGCATTTGTTAGCCCAAACGGCATTACAAGAAATTCATAAGACCCATAACGAGTTACACATGCAGTTTTGGGTTCATCTCCTTCTGCTATACGCACCTGCCAGTAGCTTGCACGTAAATCCAGCTTAGTAAAGTAGGATGCCCTTGACAACCTGTCAAATAAATCAGCGGCATTGGGCACTGGATACTTGTTCTTCACAGTCACCTTATTCAGAGCCCTATAGTCCACACACATCCGCATTGAGCCATCCTGCTTCTTCTGGAACAACACTGGCGCGCCATACGGTGCCTTGGATGGTTGAATATAGCCAGACTCCAGCAACTCATCCAACTATCTACGCAGTTCAGCCAATTCTGAAGGTGCCATCCGGTATGGGGCCTGAGTAGGAGCCCTTGCACCCGGCTCCAACTCAATCTTATGATCAACAGCACGTCGAGGGGGCAATTGCTTAGGTAGTTCTGGTGGCATCACTTCTGCAAATTCCTCTAGAATTTCAGAAACAGAATCCGGAACTTCAACAAGCTGGTCCGGTTTAATCTCTATCATAGCTGCAAGAAAGGTAGAGTCTCCCCTCTTCAAACCTGTTTTCACTTGCAATGCAGAGATTATTTCGATGCAGCCATATTTACGATCTTCCTTCTTTTGGTGCCCATAAAGAGCCACTGATGGAATAAAACATGGACAACTCCTATCCCAAATAAAAACTCCTCCCAAATATGGCACAACTACCACTCTGGCTTTCGTAAGGAACTCAATTCCAAGAATTAGATCAAAATCATCTAAGGGTACAGCCATAAGACTAACTACGCCCTCCCAACAACCAACTTTCATATAAGTGGTGGCCATGCCTAAAACAGGCTTGGCTTCAGAATTCACAGCTTTCATCTTATTAGCATGTGGAATTAACTTTAAATTAAAGTTACTTACTTCCCTCTGCACAATGAAGTTATGAGTGGCTCCCGTGTCCACCATTGCCAAAACTTCCTTGCCGTTCAGCGTCACCTAAATGAATATGAGCCCTTTCAACTCCATGGACTATTCTTCAGTAAGAGCATTCAGCATTTGCAGAGGATTAACTCGGGTTGGACCAGATTCCGAGTCTGAGTCTCCTTTTGAATCAGCGACAATAGCACTCAGCTTCTCCCTCTTGGGACAATCCCTAACACGATGGGGACCATTGCAGATGAAACAACCGTAGTTGGGCTTAGTCCCACTACTACTCCCTTTGTTGTTGTAATCTGCCTTGGCCTTGACAAAGCCACCGCCTTTATCCTTCTTTTGATTCTTGTCCTTCTTCTTGTCCTTGAACCTGAAGGACTGGCCTTTATCTTTCTTCCCCTCCTTAGACTTCTTCTTGTCTTGTGTAGTAGACCAAGTCATCTTGAAATCTACAAGACAATCTGCCGCTGTCATGGCAGTAGGAAGGTCCCTCACACCTTGCCTACGGAGTTCTGCCTGAGCCCATGGTTGCAATCCGGACATGAAATTGAACAGCTTATCCTCCTCTGACATATTTCGAATGTCCAGCATCAAGGAACTAAAGTCCTTCACATAGTCACGAACGGTACCTGTGTGCTTCAATTTCTTCAGAGATTCCCTTGCAATCCATGCAGTGTTCTGAGGCAAGAACTGGTCCTTCAATTCCTTCTTAAGGGTCTCCCAAACTTCAATTCGAGGCCTACCCGCAGAAGCATCGTCCTCTGTCCGTGTGCGCCACCATAGTTTTGCATCACCAGACAGATACATGCTTGTAATGGTCATCTTCTCGCCGTCGTGGATCCGAGCAGCCTTGAAGTACTGCTCCATGTCCCATAGGAAATTCTCCAACTCTTTGGCATTTCGGGTACCACTGAAAGACTTGGGATCCGACACCTTGATCTTCTGCGAAAGAGGATCACCACCGCCTCTAGAACTCCCATGAATGGCCCTCTTCACGAAGGACACTTCATCTTCAAGGTCTTTCAGGTTCTTTTTGAAGACGTCAGTCAACGACTCAACATCTTCAGAGATACGGGTCAATTGCTCTTTGGTGGCCTGCATGAAGTCACCAAACCCATCAGGATCAGTCTTCAAGATCTCCAATTCAGAAGCCAAGTTTTCAATTTGAACAACAAGGCTCTCTGCACCATCTTGTACCTCTGTGTCTGTAGGAAAACCCACAAACCCTTCCAAATGGGAAACTCTCTCACGTGTATTACCTCCAGCCATCGTAGAACGGGGCTCTGATACCAATTGTCACAGGGCTAAATTACACCACGAATTTTTGCCTCTGCAATGGCACTTGGGGCCACCAAGTCTCAGCCAACACAACAACACAATACACACAGTATAGAAATGTAAAGAAGGCACACACAGTTTACAGGGACAAGCCCCAACCTTTGCTCATATTAAACATATTACAAAGGAACATGAGTTCGTACAAGGAACAACCAAGGCTCACACCCTCTTCTCTGTCCCTCTATAAAGCCCACCTTAGCATTATATAGGCCACTCTCAAAACCGCCCATAACTGCCCACTAAGATGATGGATGACACCCCCATCCACCTAGGGTCGTGCTGGCACCCTCTAAATGTGCCAGCACTATAATGCAGTTGACAAGCCCAACTGCTAGACTTGTTGGCGTGTTCTGCTCATGCCACATAACCACAAGAAGTTACATTCTGCATAGTGAAGGAAACCACCCTTAACCGCCTGTGTGTTGGTCCTCTTAGAATTGTGCCACATGTTTGGGAGGTTACTCAGCACTCCCCCACTTCCCATGATGAGTGGGAAGTGCTAGTAACTTCCCCCAACCGACCGAGCCTACTAAGCCACCACCTTTTGTAACCGCAAGCCATGATTTTGTGTTGTCCATGCTCTAGCCACATCTGAGTCAACCTTGTGAACCTAACCCAAGCCAAGTCCACCAATCTGCACCCACATATATATGTTTCTGAGTGCACGGCGTGCCAAGCCATGCACGCCCGTGCGCACGCTCGGGTGCACACTAAAGTGCACACCGGCGCACACACTAGTGCCCTTCTTCACGCGCCATGTTTGAACCCTCATACGCCCGTGGCTGTACACCCACCTGGACGCCTGTGCACACGCCGAGCTAGACGCTCGCGCACACTAGGTTGGACGCCTACCCGCGCGTCCACCTGCACGCCCGCACGCGCGCCGCTGCACACCAGCGCGCGTGTCGGTGCCCACTTGTTTGCCCTTCAATATCTTGGATGCTCCCCACTTGTGCAACCATCTTGGAATGGTGCAACACGTGCCCATGCACGTTGGCTAAGCCCTCTAAGCAAGCCATGCCATAGCCCAACTGATGTGCTCAACAGACCCCCCCTAGTATAGTCTTAAGGAAATCCAGCACTCTGACAGGAGTAAATATCACCCATGCTTGAGGAGTCGTAATGGTCTTTCAAGCCTTTCCCGACATCCAAATTAAGTGCCGTCTGCGCCAACCAGCTTCTATGGACTCAAGGTACCTCCCATAAAGATCCCGAGTCAAAACCCCAAGTTCCACTTTTCGCCATATTTACGAAAGTGCCACTGGGCACCCCCAGTGCACGCCGAGCATCCTTTTAAGCATCTTGTGTGCACGCTGAGCATCTTGTGCACGCTGACAACCCACTGAGCACCCTCATGGCTGTCTAACCAAAGCCAAAGTATTCCCAAGACATGGCATGGCCTTGAAATGCCCATGTCTTCCCTTGGACAACCGTCAAGGGGCTAACACAAAGAGTATTGAGAAAATTACAAACAACACAACAGCAACATGTAACAACACAACTGGACTTGAAGAAGATTAAAATTTGTCATCCCTTTCCTTAATAATCCCCGAAAAACCACCTTTCATTTTAGACGTCAAGTACGATATGAACATCGGCTCTACACCTTCCTCCATCGCCGGCACCACCCTAAACCGCCACAAAACACCAGCAACCACCATCTTCATCTGCAGGAAAGCCATCTCCTTCCCCAGATAAATCCTGGGTCCCGCTTGAAACACCGTGTACGTGTAAGCATCCCTCCCCACGAACCTCAATTTCTCGGTGACCGCTTCCTTCTCCAACCATCTCTCGGGGCAGAAGTCCTCCCAGTCTGACCCCCACAACCTCTCCAACCTCCCCATTGCATAAGGATGATAAGTAACCCTCATCCCTTTCTTCACAACCGTCCCATCCAGTAAGACGTCGTCGTCCATTGCTTCTTTGCTGTCGGCGGGGACCGGCGGGTACAGTCTCATGCTCTCACACAACGAAGCGTGTGTGTAAACCATGTCCTTCACTTCTTCGTAAATCGGCGAATCGGACTTCTCTTCGATCTCTCTGAGAATTTCCTCTTCAACCTCTGGGTTACTGTACAAAGGGTTTTTTTAGATTATAGGGTTTTTTTAGATTTTTTATCCTTTTATATTCTATTCTAATGAAATAAATCTATACTAGCCAAAGATTAGATATATATTTTAATCACGATTTTATATAATTGTTGTTTGATACAATTACACAAATTATAATTTTTTTCTTTCTTTTTTGGTGATTAGTCAATTCAATCGCAATTGTTGTTGTATATTTTTTATTTCTGTAGAAAGTGAAATATAAGGGCAAATTATTATTTTTTTCCTAATTGAGAAGGATTGGGACGTGGGGTTTAATCGCGAAAAAGTAAATGAATTAAGTAACTTTGTAAAAGTTATGTAGGGCCTTGGGTATGACACGTGGTTGGTTGTTATTGGGGGATATTTTTTTACACAAAAGGTATAAAACAACCATTGGAGCTAAAAATAAGTAGTACAAAATTTTTGTGTAAATCTATTCTGACACATCAGATTTACACAAAAATATATACACAACGGTTGGACATGCTAAGGTCAGATTTTTTTTAAATTTATTTTTGTAAATAGAGTGATAATGGATTTTCTTTCTTTCTTTTTTTCTTTCTTTTTTTAAAATAAAAAGAGGATTTAAAATTTAAATGTAAATTTGAGTAAAGATCCTGTGTTCTAAATAATGTCATTTCTTGTATACTAATGCATAATTAAATTTAAGGACAAGTCCTAAACTATAAAAAATTTATATTCAAATTACTCAAAGTCCATTAACCCAAAGGAAATTTTTTGAGATATATAAGAAGACGTGACCTTTAAGAATAATGGTAAAACATACTAATACTTTAAATTTAATTACTTATTCTTGTATAAAAAAATTAATTCAAAGTGGTAATCAGTGTTTATTTTTTTATTATCTAATGGATCGGCTGCAGATAACCTCCTTTAATATGCATATTGTGCGTATAACCCCCTCATGTTTGTTAACCACCCCTTTATCAAAAAATATGTGCGAATTAGTCCCTTTTGCTTCTTTTCCGATGAGTTACAAATATATTAAAATACCCCTCTCTCACACCGATCTATTTTTGTTTCACATTGACCCGTTCTCTCCTCCTGCACCATCTTCATCAACGGCAGACAAAACAGAGACCACCCCTGTTAACAGAGACCCATAAGTCAACTCCATAGGACTTTTCTGATTGTATAAACAGTGCTTGAACCAAATGAGTGAGTATGAGTACAATACTGTGCAATACTCATGACATAACTGAAGGAATATGAAATAGTGAAATTAAGAAATGCAATGTAAGATTTCAGAATTTCATATGAATACTAAAGTGTATTGCTATCATGTATTCTTCTTCACATGGTCGAGAAAAGCTTGTAGAAGTCGTAAGGGTCTAGGCTAGCACAAGCAGTTGTACCTTGAATCTGGTGAGGGCAATTACGGAATATCAGAGGACAATTTTGGATTTTTCTTATGTTTTAGAATTGTCATGTGCATGACACATGACCTACTAACCCCATTCTCTATCGAAAATCTGACAGGCGGTGGTTAGCTGCAACATTATAGGATCTAGTTTGGACTTATATGCACAAAATAAAAGGATGTAATATGCACTAAATTAAAATTAGGAGGGTGTTTTCTAGACTTTATCTTCTTAGAATTGATAACCACTGTTGCCGGGGACAATATTTGGGTTCAACCCACCAAATTCATCCAACCTGAACCTGACTACGTGGACCAATAAAAATAAAATTAAAATTAAATTAGGTATTACCCTTATTCGAGTCTGACCCGTTACTAAAACATTTTTAAAGGTACCAAAATATTCCTATCTTCTACCTCTTCATTCTCTCTCTAATCTGCACCCCCTTCTTCCTCCTCTGACCTGCAGCCGCAACTATGCTCAAAAGCCTAATCTTCATATATAGACACACACATACACACAGTTGTACGCACACAGGCAGGCATATATAGCACCGAGAGAAGAGAAGAAGAACCTAGAATTTGTTCATACCCTAATTTTCTCTGGGTTGAATTCAAAAACCCTATTTTTTTAATTCAGGCTTTATTCCATTCTCTGCAACATCAATAATTCCATCAAACACACTGAAGCCAATTTCGCACCCAAACACAACAAACACCAATTACCACCTCACCCACCAAACACAACCTCATCACCAATTATAAACAAGACCAAATTAATCAAAGATCGTACCCAAATCAACGTTCCTGTTCGCCCAAATCAGAGCTCACCTTCGCCCAAATTAGAGCTCCTCTGGCAATTACAAACCCAAACACAACCATATTACTAATTACCACCAATAACTCCATACCCATAACCGCCGCGGCGGATAGCACCCTGGGTCAGCGACTCCATTGGGCCGGTGACGTCAACGGCTTTGATACGATTTTCGGTATACTCGACAAAAAACTCTACCGACTCACCTTCCACAAGACCGAAAAAGCCCCCATCTCGGATCGAGGACCTGTAGACCACGAGATCGTCGTTGCCAACACTCGGAGCGATGAACCCAAAACCAGTCACATGATTGAATCGCTTCACAGTTTGTTCATCCCTCGCCCTTACGGTTCTTCCCTCTCTTTCGCCTTCCTTGGCCAACAGCCTTGGAAGGTTTCCTCCACAACACACTCAGATTCCACTGAATTAGACAAGCCACCAGTAGAGAGAGAATGAAGAAATAGAAGATAGGGATATTTTGGTCCCTGGTCAAACCCAAATAATTGTGTAATACCTAACTTAATTTTATTTTTATTTTTATTTTTAAACACGTGTCTTACATTGATTGGTCCACATAATCAAGTTGGATGAACTTCATCCAACCTAGATTGGACCCAAATATTGTCCGCTGGAAAGTGAGGCCTTATTTGATTATTTTGCTTGGAAAATCAAGTGAGCGAGCATAGCTACTACTAGCAGGAAGGAAGGAACCGACGACTGTCCACGGTTATGAAATGAAATTCCTGGAAAAACTTGGTATCGTCTCTACCCCTTCATTCCTCTACTCACCCTCAAAAGTAGTCATCTCTCACATCTTGGTATTACCCAAGTCAGTGTCGTTATCGACGTCGTCTTCTTCTGATGATGATGATGATGTCGAAACACAAGAACATATGAATAGTCTAACTCAAGAAGAGATCACAGAGATCAACCTCGTAATCCCTCGCCTGTGCTTGTCAAACCATCTCCCAGAAGCAATCCGCCTCGTCGATGCAGCCCTCGTTGCAAACCCAAACCCAAACCCAATCCCACCTCTTAAATCACTCTCTGTTTCCATCCTCATCAACCGCCTCTCTGCTGAGCCGGACCTCACCCAACCAATGTCCTTCTTGAACCGCCTCAAGCACAACCCTCCAGCTCACCCCTCTCTCCTACCCATTACCAAGATGCTCCTATTTTCCTACTTCAACAAGGCTAAGAAACCCAAGGTCAAGGAGGCAATGAAAATTCTCAATTGGATGTCCAGACCGGACTCTCCGTGCTTCCCGGATTCGGTTGTATACGCCATTGTGGTCAATGGATTTTGCAGGAATAGGATGGTTTTTGATGCTCTCAAGGTTGTTCGGGCAATGGTAGGTGCGAATTTGGTGCCGGGCTCGGAGACGCGGATGAGGATTTATAGGGCTTTATTGAGTGAGGCGAGGATTAGAGAAGCGCAAATGTTGGATGAGGCTTTGGGTTCCATTTCCATTTGGGATATTGGAGGTGATCGTAATAATAATGTAAAGAAGAAGAAACTGTCCGAGGAGTTACTTGATCGGATAATTGCGAATTGGGTCGAATAGAGGAGGAGGAGAGTTACTCTTTTCACTTTAGGGTTTCTCTCAATTTATTATTTGGCACAAATTTTAGTTTTTTGTCATAATACCAAATACAATTTAGTTGGAGGATTAAGCCATATATCTCTAAGAAATGTGACTGTGCTGTTGGAGGTGGTAGTATGTCATCTCTATCTTTCTAATTTAGTCTTGACAAGCATTTGAAAATGACTATTATGTTTGTGCTGCGTTTAGATTCTGCAGATTATTGCACTCTTCAATTTTGCTTACTGCTGTTTTATAGGTTATAGATTTTGATTGTTGTCCTTGTGCATATTTGATTTGTAGTCTAAATTAAACAGGGATTAGAATAACCAGGTGGACTTGGCACTTGGGATTGCATGAGGATATGATACATAAGTTAACCCAGACAAAAATTGCTAGGATCTCAAGTTAATTAAGATACCTTTTTCTTGCCTATTTCAAAGCTTGTTGGTTACATTGGAAGAGACCTAGTGGGGTTGATATCAAGTGGTAATAGAGTCCTTTGCTTTCAACATCAAAAATTTAGTATCCCAGCATTCTTATTCCACATCAATTTGGTTTCAGAGCTTCATTAGTTGTTCTACTACATCAATTGATAGCAGAGCACTTTTGGTCCAACATCAGGGCCTGTCCTCTCTCTCTAGTCTCTCTATCTCTAATCTGATCTAGCTCCTATACCTCTCAACTTTCCTTTTCCTCCCCTTCTTTCATTCTCTACACCTTCGATCTTCTTGGACTTCTCATTCTCCTATGAATATTCTCTCTGAAGTTGGATTGGACTATTTGGGAGTTTGGAAGTCTCCTCCACACAGTTTGTTGCACTTCTGTTGGCTCGCAGAAGTCCACAATTTGATTCGGTATCTTCCTTTATATCATCTGCATCATTGATTTTCCTCTTTCCCAACATTTGTTTGAGCTTATAATGTTCTGTTTGGTAGTTAATTTATACAAACATTTATGGCAAATAGTGAACTGTTTGATGTTGGATTAAGTCTCTATTGAATAAAGCTATTTTCTAAATATTTCTTACTTCAACTGCTACTTGATTATTCATATTTTTAGCTAGGTCCGATTTGATTGTTCTTGGTTTTTAAATTTTCTGTAGCATGCTTAATAGATTGGTGCTTCCAGACACTATTCACATAAAATTCTCTTATCATTTCTTACATTTTTGTAGACTTTTACTAAATCCAAGGTTGCATCTCTGGTATCAAAGCTTTGGTTTGGAAGCAGTTTGCCTCACAAAATTTTAGCACACATTCTTTGCGTGTTATTTGATCAGCGATGCTCTTGTGAGCCACAAGGCCCACAACTACTAATGTGTCAACATTTTATGAACAGTTTGAAGGGTGCTGTGTATTTGGCAAAATTGCCTTTTTGGGATTCTTTCAGAAAAGGATGCCCTTTAAGCTCATTTCTAGGTTGGCTCATAAATTCTGGGATAGTAAAGGGTTACAGAAGGTTGTCGATTACAAGGATGGAGCTTTCTTCTTCAAGTTTGAATCACCTGACAAATGTAGTAGTGTTCTTGCTGGAGGGCAGTGGTTTTTTGCAGGGAAACCAATCTCTCTAAGGCATTGACAAGAAAACTCATCTTCTCCTCGAGATATGGCACCAGGTTCTATTTCAATCTGGATCAAGCTCTTTAATGTACCCCTTGAACTCTGGTCTCCTAAAGGCCTCAGTTATTTGGCCAGTGCAATTGGGAGGCCACTCTTTGCTGACTCTAATACACAAGAAAGGAATTGGTTGGACTTTGCAATGATATGTGTTGAAATCAATCCTCTTTCTTCACTACCAAATTCATTTCAATTCAGAACAAAAGGAGATAACTTGGTCACCATCAAAGTTCAATATCCGTGGAAACCTATCATCTGCCTGCTTCACCAGGTCTTACACTTCCTCTTGAGGCCTTGCCACTCTCTAACTCATTTGCCACATTACCTCGTGATCAAGCCTATGGGGAAGAGGATAAATCTGAGGAGTTGGTTGTATCCTCTGATTGTGATGATAATTCAGTCTCAAACTCAAGGACACATGATCCCACTTACTCACCTATTATGAACAAGGTTCTCAAGTCTAGAAAGCCTGTGCACACCAAACTTTCCAAAATTGAAAAGAAGGCAAAAAAGGGAAAACCTAGTTTATCTAATGCAGCTACCGTTAAGGGGTTTAGGGGGTTGTGTAGTCCCACTAGCACCTCTCAATAATCTGGGCCGCTTGGAATGTTAGAGGGTTGAACTCTCTTCTCAGGCAAGTAGAGGTTAAGAACCTAGGACTCCAATTTATGTTTGGTGGCTCTGCTAGAAACTAAAGTCAATGTGGATAATGTTGATGATTTGCACAATTTCATTGCTCCAAGTTAGCACATTAGATGTAATTACAGCTCCTCTGTAATGGGAAGGGTATGGATCCTTTGGAACCCTCAGATTCCATCCTTAATCTCATTCTTTAAAAATTTCCAAGTTATTAATTGCACAGTGCTTCTCAATGACCTCAAAATCAAGTGCATTGTCTCCTTTGTGTATGCAGCTAACGCTGCCAATGATAGAAAATCACCTTGGAGAAGTTTGAATCTTCAATGTAATCCTAATATTCCTTGGATTCTTACGGGGGATTTTAATGTCCTCCTACATGTCAATGAATCATTTGGAGGTGCATTCAGGTGGACCACAGGTAAGGAGGACTTCAGGGTTTGCCTTCACAAAAATGGGTTGGAAGATATTAGGTACTCAAATATCTACTTTACATGGACCAAAAAGAGTTTTGGGTGTGCTAATATTTCAAAGAAATTGGATAGAGTGCTGATCAACCAAGCTTGGATGATGCAGTTCCCACAAGCTGAATGTAATTTTCTACCATATGGTGTCTCTGATCACTCACCAATGGTGGTCAATTTTGGCTCTATCACCCCTAAGAGAAATATTCCATTTAGGTTCTTTAACTTTTGGACTTTGAATGACAAGTTTCTTACTATAGTGTCTCAAGGCTGGCAATTGGAAGTTTCTGGTACTAAAATGTTCGGAGTGATTATGAAGCTTAGAGCTTTGAAGCAGCCTCTTAAGCTTCTCAATAAGAATGACTATGTTGCATTGCCTCTAGAGTGATGGCCAGTAGAGAAGAGTTAGCTCAGTGTCAAATTAGTCTTGTTTTGAACGCTGCTGATGATCAGATAAGACTTAATGAAAAGGAGTTGGCTGCTTAGTTTTCTGAGTTGTGTCTTGCTGAAAAATTGTTCTTCAAACAAAAAGCTCTGGTTAAGAGAGGGTGATCAAAATACCTCCTATTTTATGAAACGGTTCTTATCTAAAGCCAATAGAAGGAAGGTGATTTCCATTGAGAATTCAGAAGGGGTGGTTGTTCATGGCCAGGATCTGCAGAGGGAGTTTCTTACTCATTTTCAATCCTTACTTGGTCAAACCTACATACATTACCTAGGTATGGACTCTTTCTCTACTCTCATTTTCAAGTCTGTTCCAGCCCACTTCTTGTCCACCCTCACAGCTATCCCCATAGACTTGGAAATCCAGAGTAGCATCCTCTCATTCCACCTTTTTAAAAGTCCTGGTCCAGATGGTTTTAATTCATGTTTCTTCAAGTATGCTTGGCCTGTCATGATGTTATTGCTGCTATAAAGGACTTTTTCACCTCTGGGAGGATGCTCTCTAATATCAATTGCTCTTACATTACTTTAGTCCCTAAAAAGCCTAATCATTCTTCTGTTAATGATTTTGGACCTCTATCATGTTGCAATCTGATCTATAAATGCATTTCCAAGCTAATTGCAGCTAAGTTGAGTATAGTCTTGCCTTCCCTAATCAGTCCATCATAAAAGTCTTGCCTTCCCTAATTAGTCCATCATAAAATGCATCTGTTAAAGGTAGGAAAATCACCGAGAACATTATCATGGCTCATGAGTTGCTTAATGGGTACCACAAAGCCTCCCACCCACCTAGTTGTACCTTAAAAGTTGACCTTAGAAAGGCATTTGACTCTCTACATTGGCAGTTCATCC